CAAGACATTATTCCTTATACTCCGAAAGCAGCTTAAAGTGGGCAGTGGATCCATAGGATCTCCAATTATTGTGAGGGATTTTCAAAATCACTCAACTTACTTTATGCTCTCAATGAAATCAAATTAAACTTTCTATTAATTTCAAAGGAAGTGATGTTAGGAATATAGGGTTAGGAAGGAACTATCCAGGCATGTGAACCAAATCTCCTCTCATTGTAAGTAGCTACATTTCATGTATTCCCTTCCTTAAAATACCAGGATAACATTGATGGTGTTTGAAAATCCACACTCCTCAGTTAAATCATACGAGACCAGGAGGCTGATTTGGATAAATTCCAAAGTGACTGGAAATAACGTACCGTATCAGCTACACAGGAACAAGACTCCACAAGTCCAACCATTAGGTTCACAGCTATGATTTTGATTTTTTATTTTGCACCTTATTAGTCAGAAAATACATTGCTTCAAGAAGAGAGTTACCGAGAGACCACAGAGGCTGAGCACCCTTGTGTCCAGACATCTCCACCTCTGACAAGGCTGAGCAAGTAGGAGGACGAGGTGGAACATGAAGGCCTCAACCTTGGCTGACCGTGTTGGAAAAAAGAAGTAACACAGGTTTTGCCAGCTAGGTCCCCCATTCTTTTCTTTTTTTTTTCCTCTCCAGAAACCCTTTTCTCTGATGGATTTCCTTGACTGCCAGTTGAGGTACAGCCCCAAATCTCTGCATTTCTCTCCCTGCTGCGTTCCGTTCCCACGTAAGAAAATGACGAACTCATACGCGGCACCTCTTAGCGATGTGAATGAACCACAGGTTTTGGACCCCAAGGCCCCCCTCTGGAAATACACAGTGTCAAAAGCAGGCAGAGCACGTGGCGGGAGGCAAAGCCATCGTGAAACGGTCATCACTGCAGCTCCCTCACGTAATTCAAGTAATACGTAACCAGAAGCATTATCATCTTGAAGTCTTGCTGCCTGCCTCCGTAATTCCTCAGTTAAGAAGCACTTATCTCATCACGTGTCATCTTCACAGCTTTTTAATTTTTTTTTCCTGAGGCTGAGCCCAAATAGAATTTTTTTTTTTTTTAATTCTTCTCCTAACCATGATGTCCTTGTTCCGAGTGTTTCAAGATTAGGGAATGAATCAAAACTAAAGGCTCCAGACGTAGCCCTGAAGAAACACCAGGTCCTGATTTTTGGTCTTGTTTTCAATGCAGCAGGCCTCATCCTCATGTCAAGCCCTCCTGGCTTAATGGTGCTCTGGGCTGATCCCAAAGAAGAATCTATAGATCTATAGCTTTTCCCTGTAAAGGGATGTTGTGGAAGTGGTGATCAAAACTGTATTGCTTTAAAGCAAGAAAATAAGACATTACATCTTTGGTCCTAAAGCAGCCCATTTAAAAAGCTACTTGAAGGTGTTTTTTTTTTTTTCTTATGTACAAACTTTTTTCTAATAATTTATTATTATTTTTTAAAGGCTTCTTAAAAAGTTCTGTGTCAGAACTGACAAACCAAACTTACAAAAGTGTAGCTAGAAAATGATATTCTGATACAAAAATTTGCATTAGTGGTGATTATGAAGCATTCCCGCTAAGAGTTATACCCCGAGTTTGAAATTCCATTGCTCTACCTTTTTCATCAGGAGGAAGGTTCTACCTGCACACTTTGTCCCGATTCAAGCGTTTTCTCACAAAGAAACGCCGGGGAAAAGGAAACCGGAGTGACTGCAACTGCCCCTTGGGAGAGGCAGCAGCGGTGCCAGGGGAGGATGTTGAAGCCAAGCTGAAAAATGAGCCTTGTCAGGAAATGCAAAGGTTCTCGCTGACACCCTGGAGCACACCCGGACACGCTGAGGACCCCAGGCTAAACCATCCTGGTCCTATGCTGCAGTCCTCCTGGCCAGCTCAAGCTTGCCCCAGGGACCTTGTCCTGTGGCTGCCTGCCAGCTGGAAGCAAGAGCAAGTGCCTGGGCCCACCGATGAATTTGCTCCGCAATGCAGCAAATCCCCCAAGTCAACTCCCTCTAGGGCAAAGCCCAACAACCTAGGGCCCAAAAGAAGTAAAGCACACAGATCACAGAAAACCATCATGGTAGCACCAAGCCTGTTGCTTATTTCCAAGTTCTTGGCAGTTATTGGAAGTCTCTGAGCCTGTAGTGCTGTAGGAACAACAGTTCCCTAGTAGCTGCTGCTCCAATGATTAAGAGATGCAAGCACTCTAACTTACAGGCTGGATTGTTTTGTCTTCCATGAGCAACACAGTAAAAATGAAAGTTTTAACTGCCTTTAAGATTTAGCTTCTCAAAGTGCTGTGGCTTGCTACCTTTCCCTGTTTAGCTGGGCTTTTAAAAATCAGCATTTATACCCACAGCTGTGAGACAACTGCAGAGCTTCCAAGCTGTATCTGGATGATGGATTATGAGAGATCTCGAGATGCAGCGTGCTCATTCTGCTCATCTTCATGGAAACCCACGATTCCTGCCCCACTCAAACAGCTGCAAGTCCACGCAGCAATGTGAGCCACAGCGGGAAAAACAGATCGTTTCAGCTGCCTATTGATTGGTTTTTGTCGTCAGAGGAAGCATCGTGGCACTTTGCTAATGGCTCTTAGCACCAGCCAGCACAGCCCCTAGACCCGCAGCAAGGGCTGTGCTGCTGCGCAGCCCCTGCGCTCCCAGAATTGCGTCCCTGTAGAGATGCCAGTTTGCAAAACGCAGCTTCGAGGGTGCATATGCATGAGAACTGTTTTAAAGTATTGCTAATCCCACAAATCTGGAGTCATCCTGCACCTTTTTAACGAGAGCTTGCGGTTTCTGCATCCTCTCTGCTCTTTTTCTCAGCACAATACTTTCAAAGCACGACAATTTTTCAGGCTTACATTTCTGCGTTTTTAAATGGGCCTCCCTGGTTCTAACAAAGAGTTGCTACTGAATCTCTCATGAATTATTGTGAAAAGGCAAGCACATTACTCTGTATTAGATGGTTTTCATGCTACATAATGCTGGTGACACATACTGCTACTCCCTAAGGCTTTTTTTGTTTGTTTTAGAAAACAGAATCAAATAATAAAAAATTTAAATAAATTATTTTGCATAACAGTGGCTTTGTAGGAAAACATTGCACACTATAATTTTCTACTGCTTTTCCCAGCAATGTAACAGATTTGGCAAACCAATAAATTTTCCATGATTCCCACTGAAGTACTTCTGGATTTTATAAATACCCTTTTCTGGGGCAGTGCACGGGGACAAGCAGTATGTTGCCCATCTAGGAGAGCAGCCCAGCAAATCTGCTCTCAGGGGAGCAAGGAGGAATCTGCCATTAAACTGGGAACTGGATCCTAGTTTATGCTTGGAATATCAGCCAGTAGCAAAGTCAAGCACCGCATCCTTCACAAGGCTGTGACGGGGACGTGGTCACTGTGACACAGATGGACCAGGCAGGACAACCCTGGGGTTCTGACCCAAGACACGGTGCTACTCCCGGCCGCCGTGTGGCTGATGTGCCGGCGCACACGCCGTGAACGCATTTGACACTGCATTACTTTTAAAGGGCACACATTTCACACGATTGTTCTTTTCCATCAATCCTCAAGAAATCTCTAAAAGCTAAGGCTTTACTAAGGAGCTCGGTCCTGGACTCCAGGCGCAGTATGTAAATGGACGAACACACTGCAATATTCAAAGCACCAACGTGCAGCACAGAATTGACCATTTCCTGCCCATCAAAAAATGCTACATATCCCCTGCTACCCTGTGACTTACACGCGGTCTAAAGCAGCCGAAGGTAGCCCTGTGCTTCAGTAGAGGACGATGACATTTTCCAGCATCCCCTATTTTTCTTCTTTCCACTAATTCATCCTCCCATTGCTTCCCACCTTGCCAGGATAAGAGGGATGGGCGCAACCAGGCAAACAGCCCCAGCTCCTGTCCTACAACGATCCAGCAACTGGCAGCAACTGCCTGGAGGTCAGAAAAGCATAAGGCAGATGTGCCTCTTTTCTGTGCCAAACGTATGCAGAAAAACGATTCCTGCCCTGAGCCGCTCTAAGAAGTGAGATGAAACTGCCTGGGTAAAGCTACCTGTGATTCTTGCCCTATCGTGTTTAATTTAGTGCAGTTCTTTCAGACTGTCCGTCTCACGAGTGCTCCAATTTGCCACCGTTTGCATTTCCTTGACATTTAATTAACGTTTGTTAAATGTTATTTGACACTTCATTTTTCAGTTATGGCAACATCTTCTAACACTTTTGTTAAAGAAAAAGGCATTTTTGACAACTCTACAGCTGCAGAATGGATCAGAAAAAAAAATGTCTTGCGCTTGACCATCAGAAAACAGACGAGTGAGCACTTTCTAAGCGTTTATAAAGGGCTTTGAGCTGAGTTCCTCCTGTCAGTTTTTAGCACTAGTGGTCAGAAGGTGATGTGTCTTGCCATTCAGTCCTTGTGCTAGTTTTCCCCAGAGTAATCCACTTCATTCTTCTGTGAACAAAATCTCCCACACATCTCCCAGATGCACTTTTCCTGTTCATCCCAGGAAGTGGTATAAGGAGATAATTTGTTAAAAAAAAAAAAATTGATTGTTTGGAAAGCTATTTATGTTCCGAGACTTTTGAGAAACTCTTCTCAAGAGCATTTAATACAATCTTCTTTTTTTCCCTCGTTGATGATCTGAGCACCACGTAACAGACCAGCAGTACAAGCATCTGATCTTGTAAAAGATCCAAAAGCTCTCTTAGAAACATTTATAAAAATATGCACTGTAGAAAGGAATTTGACTGTGCAATGTGTACAGCTCCCAAGTTCATCCCAGAAAGGCTTCTTACACTGCTACCACTTGAAAATGAAAGGAATGCATCTACTCTTTATTCTGCACAGGAAGATCCCACTCTCTTCCAACATGCATCAGAGTGTAGCGTATTACATGGAAAGGGAAAATTCCATTATTACATGGAAAGGGGCAAGAAAACCCCAGCTGATATTGTCAAATGTGCTTTGCAATTTCAGCCCACATGCTGGAAGGGAAAGATGTGCTGGCTGATGCACTGCAGTTGCCACTCGCTCTGTGCAGAGTCTGTTCCTGCAGCAGCCAGGTGCTTCACCAAGAGCCTGGCTTGCCTCGCTGCAAGAAGTAATTCTCTATGGTCATGCTGAGGCTTCAATGTATTCACTTTTTGGTGCTGCTACCCTTAAATACTCTGGGTTTTCTGCTGCAGGAACTTTCAAAAGACCATTAGGTTTGCTTTCTTTCGGCAGGAAGTCCTGCTGATAGTCAGGATTGTCCAGGTTTATTTGGTGATTGCCCGCCTGGATCCAATACGGAGAGCTCTCGAAGACTGTCGTGCCCAGAGGAGACTGATTGGTGTTGAGATACTCAGGGTTGTCCACGGCTGTACTGTGGGAATTCTGGTAGCCCGAGTCCGTGGAATTTCCCGAGACAGAGCAGTTGTTGTAGATCGGATTCTGGACCACTGCCACAGATGGTTTCTTGGGCATCAACTGGTTTACATACTCTGGAATTACAAATAAAGAGACAGAATGAAAATGAAGACATAAAACTAGTGTGGCTTCCTGTATGATTGGATGCATAGCTTCAACCCTGCACTTCTCATACATAGCTTCCCACTGAGTTTCCTAGCATGGTACCAGGATTCGGAGAGTGCCAAATGCAGTGGCTGACATCTCATGGCACGAAGTGCAGTGCTCTGAATTAAATTTGCAAAGCAGCACAAATATGACTTTGACCATGAGACAACTAGAGAGCTACCGCTGATTTTAGTGACATGCAGGTGGCTAAGTCCCATGTACTGCTCTGAAACCTCACCCTGGGTCGCCTTCTCTTTCCAGCTGCGCGGACTTGGTTTTGTTTTGTACAGACACAAGGCACTGCGAGTGTGCAACCCAGCAGCAGCTTCCTCAGTGACCCCTGCCCTGCGTGTGGCTGCCCACTCTGTAAGTCCACATCAAACTGCAAACTTCCCTTTGTGCCTCAACATCTGAAAGCAATGAAACGAACTGAACTCTTTGTACTGCAGAAATGGCTTAAGGGGTGAAAACAGTTTTTAAAGGAGATTTTCTGAAGTGCAGAAATAGCACTTCAGGAAAGGAAATGTGCATGCATTTTCCAAAAATGCATCCATTCTCCTGCTTTCTGAGGAAAAAAAAAAAGAAAAAAAACGGGTAGGAAGCATTAAGGTTGCTTTCTTGCTTGCTATGGAAAGGGAAGGAAAATGGTTATATTCAGGCAAGAATTCTCAAATAACCAGACAGCTCACCAATGAATGGCCCTTAGGATGGAAAAACAGCAGAGGTACTCACCTGGAGCAGGCAGGAAGCCATCGTCTATGCTGTCTTCCAAGAAAGCACCCGTCGGGTCTGAACTATACCTCTGGGCAAAGCTGTCTTCCCTCACTGGGTGTCCCTGCTAGGTTGGAAGCACAGGTTCACAAAATAAGCTTCAAAGAGGGTGCTTTATAGAAGCTGAGCCACAAAAAAAGGCTCAGCAAAAGGGAAGGTGAGGTGCTTTGAAAGAAAAGGAGGTCCTTTTTTCAGAAGTCATCACACACTTACCCCATTTCTATCAATACAGGTTGTGGCAGAATTGTTGCTGGTAGCACTCTTTTAAAAAGAGAGACAGAGAAAAGACATGAGAAACAGTTTGTTCAAAAACTGCTCGGCCTGCATTCATAGGTGGAAAGTTTCTTACCAATGAACTCAGAAGCGGAGTCCGGGATGTTGAGGGGCTACTGAAAAATCCCTGGTGTGGAACGAGATATTCATCTGCATCCACTATATCTTCCATGTCTTCCTCTTCCATCAGGGTGCGATAAAACTTGGAATCTGTAGGGCTGGGCAAGTGCATCCTTTCATCTCCCTGTTAGACAAGTCACCGTCAGAGAGGACTCTCAGACATCTTTCAATTAAATTCCATCCAGTAAATCTAGCCTTACATTATCAACAAGAGCTAAAAATTAATGGAAATATATTTCCTCAACTCACTCGTGTTACTGGCTGTGAGCTTTATGAAATAGCTCTGTCCTGTTTCACAGCGCACAGTTCTGCTCTGTTTCCCTTTACTATCAAAGCCAGAGAAGAAATTCAAGATCTGTTCCACAACTGCTCCAATCTTCCTAATTTGTTTCTCTTTCCACATTGAGTTTCAGCAAACATAATAGGAAATAATCTTTCACTGGCAGTGAGATAAACAGTCCAACAGATTTACCTCTCTAATTCTCTGATTTCTTTATGCCATTTTTATTCTGGATCTTTCAGTTTTAAAGAAATGCCAGTATACTAAAGATTTCATTGTAGCACACAGAAATGCTATAGACAGAAAAAATAATTCTGCTTGAACTGCTGACACACCATGAGAACAGACATATTTCATGCATATTGTGGGCCCATAACACCAGGCTTATTTCATGGGGTAGCTGAGCAATTGAGGAAAAAATGGAATTTTGACCAGTATATTTTTATAGAGATCACTAATCGATTTGGACATCATGTTAACTGCCCATCGGACACCTGCCCACCACTGAGCTGGGTACCTGTATAACAAGGTAGCGTGGAGGGTCTCGGGCCATTTTGGAGAACTCCGCTATCAGTTCACGAAACTTGGGACGGCTGTCGGCATCGATCATCCAGCCTGGAGGAGGGAAAGCAGGGCACACAGTTAATCTAGCAATCAAATCCAGAGTCTAAGAAAGAAAGAAAGAACTGGGTCAAGTGTGAAACAAAGAGCGCAGCTGACTGCCTAAGTGGCCACCACACCAGTGAATTCACACAAGCCACTAGCTAGTGGGAATTTTAGCATTTAAAACAAATGCCCTGTTGGTCTGTGAGGAAGGTATTTCAACCCCACCGCCAGAGAAGCTCCAGACTGGGGCTGTCCCGTCTCTTGAGGACCAACCTGCTTGGGTAGGCAGGGCCCACTAAACCATAAAACACCAATCCTGACGGTAACTGGTGGGTGACCAGTCTGGATCAATCCACATTAAAGCTGCTCTGGAAGAGATTTTGAAGGAGGGGAAAGGAGCCCATTTCAAGAGACCTTTGCCGATTGCCTGGAGCATCTGTGCCTTTCCACACTGCTTCATAAAGTCAATAGAGGTCTAGAGCAAAAATTACACTTATATTTTTTCACTCCTTGTACTAAAAATCTCTTAAATTTCTAAAACAACAAGCCGGGGACATTTGGAGAGATTAAAGCTGTATTTTACTAGCAAATGGACTCTAACAAAAGCAATTGTACAGCTTACTGTGGATCAATGAGAGAAGCGGTTTCTAATACTGATACTGGTGTTTCTACATGTGAGATTACTTAGAAAAGCCAGACTTTCTTATATCAACTAACAGAGGAGCTGATCTAGAGACCCTTGCATCGAAAATTAAAAATAATAAAGATTAAGGTCAGTGCGCCTAGCAGAACTCATAAGAAATGGTCTATACACGGTAACGGAAGAATGAAGCAATAATATGCTGTCTGAAATCTGCTTTAGACAAGATCTCATCAGTGTAAGTGGCTTCTTGCCACACCAGCAATATGCTCCCTTGCTAAATTCTTCCTTCTTAAATTCTTACCGATTAAAGAATTTCCTCTTACTTTAAGACAGAGGTAGCACCTACTAGCTCTCATTTGCAAAAGTTTAAATAACATTGTTTAAAAACAAACAAACAAAAAACCCCAGTAAAAACAGTAAAGACCTGTAGTGCAAGAATCCTGACCATTTCAGTCTATCCTCCCTGCTCCTCCAAAGGACACCTGGCAATCCCTGCGGCCTTCGGGGAAAGCAGCGCTGCTCCAGCAGGGACGGCAGCAGCGGACATGGGGTGACTAGGGTGGCCCAAGACGTGTGACCAAATCCCTGGGCAGAGGAAAGGATCAGAGCCCAGATTCCCATGCTCCTGCTTTTAAACCCAGAGGAGGGTTTTTCCGGGCAGTGATAGGGTCTGGATACCCCGCCGTGGGGTTGCCTGTCCCAGTGGAGCAGCTGTTGTTAGCAGGACACCCTAGGCCTACTGCCCTAGGGCTGGGCGATCACCCTGCATGAGGAACAGGCCATTTTGCTCTGCTGGGAAGGTCTTTAAATGCCATCTAGTGGGCTATGAGGATCCTCGGAGATGTCAGGGGAATGGGTGGCAGGGATGCTTGGCACCCGAAGCCAAATAATCACCCAGTATCGGAGCAGCTGCCAGAGGGGGAAAAGAGGCCATGCTCTGGGGTGCCAAAGCCCTTCGTTGTGCCCATTTATATTCCTCGACAGTCTCATTCGGTTTGAAAAAGGTAGCAATATCAGTCAGCAGCGTGAATAGTGAACACCCTGTTGTGACTCTCAGCTGGCTGAATTAGTGGCTACTGGAATGAAATCCCACACTCCTGATGGAAACACAAGGTGCTGGAACAGACTCCAGTGGCACTACAGTTTTCACATAATAATGTTTCCATGTAAGCATTAAGAACACAGCATATATAAGTGCAACATAACCAAAGCAGCTGTCCTCAGCGGACTGCATACAAGACGTGCTTGACTCACATTTGACCATGATCATGTAGACGTCAATGGTACAGATCGGTGGCTGAGGCAAACGCTCGCCCTTCTCCAAGACTGAGGAAATTTCACTGGCGGGAATCCCTTCGTATGGCTTGGACCCAAACGTCATGAGCTCCCAGACAGTCACACCTGCAAAGTGAAAGACGGAGCCAGTGAGGAGATGACACCAAGAGCTGGTGTACTTGGCTGGAGCACAGACTGCGTCAGAAGATGGGTAGCAAGAGCATGCCCTTCAGAGCAGCAAAGGTTTCTCAAGAGGCACTGAACTGCCAGGACTGCAGAAAAGCATTTTCTGCCCTTCCTTTAGAGAGAGACAGATGAATAAAACAGGAAGAAATCATCATGGCATATCAAAGATTTTTACATCTCAACTAATATCTCAGAGTTGAATATCCAACGAATTTCCAGCCTCACAGAAGGGAAATACAGGATGCCGACTGATGATGCCAACCTAGGAAGTGGTTTAGAAATGGAAGTTTTCTTGTTTAAAACACTCTCTCTAGAGACAGCAGCAGCAGTTCTAAACCAACTGCCTCCACGTCTTTTACTGACATACCATGATTTCTGCAATGTAGCTGTTGTGACTCAATGTAGCTCAGGATATAAAACAGGATTTTGGACGCCAAGAAACACAAATGAATTATCAGGACCAAAAGCTGCATTTTGTCTAAAAAGACATGGTACTTCACTATCTTCACAGAATATTTTCCAGGAATATAAGACTGTGGTCTTATAAGTGGTGGAGTAAGTTGCTCTGAAAAGTTTCTTTCGTACAACTTTCTTTGAGATTGGCTTATGAACCATATCAAGTGTAAAAGTAATTTTCTAAGGAGGTTATTGGTTTACTTCTCTTTTCATGGTCTCATCTCAGGTATACTGGGATTGTACTCATCCTACTGATTTCTCTGGTACTGAAGCATCAGCAGGTTAACAATTTTAGGTTAAAGCACTAACCACTGCAACGAAATAAGTCTGTGTCCTCACCTAAAGCAGTGCTGCTGAAGAAAGAGTTACATTGACTGTTAGCATCAGCCAGTGCTTTTAAATCTTCCCTCTGGTTATGGTGTTTTATTGTCAGTCCAGTTATCTCTATTTCACACAAAAAAGCGTCACCAGAACCTCAGCAAACACAGCATAATCTCCGACCTGCACCTCCTTTCAGGGAAGGGCTCCAGGTGTCAAAGTATATTCTGCAAATCACTTTATACCCCACTAACATTCAATGTCATGGGAATTTTACTTTGTTAAGTAGCTGGTTTTGGCCCATTATTACTGTTTAATCTCTCAATCTTCAGGCAATAGGGAGAAAAAAAGAGATTAAGCTGGGTAGAGTCACTAGCAAATCCTGCACATTTTCAAACCTACTCACAATTATTATGTTGTTAGACTCACCATAACTCCAGACATCACTTTGATGAGTGTAGATCCGGTGTAAAATTGACTCCAAAGCCATCCATTTAATAGGAACCTAGGAAAATATACAAATAAACCATAAAACACTTACCCTGAATTTATTAGCAGTATTTACCACCAGGTGGTGTTTAAACCAATAGTTTGGTTTCAGAAGGAAAAAAAAAAAGAAAGACCATAAAAAAAACAACACAAGTATCTGAGAGAAAGAGCAGGCAACTTTCTAAGCCCTTTATTATTGTTTTCATTTCCTATGCTGAACCTGGGAACTTGTGCAATATTCAGCTTATTAGAAATATCCCTGATACATTAGTTTTGCAATATTTTTAACAGTTACTTTTTTTTTTTTTTTAGAAAATGTCCTCCTATCATAACAAGACACATCCACAATCCCAGGCTGTATGACGAAGGCTCATTTGGGCTCATATGGTTTCCATTTATGGTCTCTGCAATATTCACAAGCAGCTTCTCTTTAATTTCTCAGCAGGATGCATTCCCTCCATCAGCACGTAGTACAACATGAAGGCGTGCTCAACCAAGTCTGACAGGTCTTTCTTCTGCCATAAATATGCAGCATTCCCTTTCTCTTCACAAACAGCACAACATTATTGGTGTTGGCTACACTGGCGAAGCCAAACAAGCCCTATTTTATTTTATTTTATTTTTTTTTTAATATTCTTGCTTTTTCCCAGACATTCTGGGTGGGAATTTCAAAAGCACTCATTGCTCCGCTACCTCTGCTCCCACTGCAGTCCCACTGGCCTGACGCGACTCCAGCTGAATTCAGAGGACTCCCACAGGCTTCAAAGGCAGCAAGCTGCGCCGGCAGCTGAGCCCTTTGAAACCCCCTCTGTAACTTTCTTGTTTCTGAAGCACAACCCCACGCGGACGCACAAACACCTACGTCCCAAGACGCGCTCGTTTGCCAGCACCTCTTACCTTGCCTCCCTCCGCGTGATACTCTTTCTCATCAGCACCAAGCAGCTTGGCCAGCCCAAAGTCGGTGATTTTCACGTGCTGAGGAGTTTTCACGAGGACGTTCCTGGCGGCAA